AGAAGGAAATGGCAAATCACTTTAGAATCCTTGCCAAGAAAACCCCAAATGGAGTCACGAGGAGTCAGACATGACTGAAAAATGACTAAACAAGGAAAGAGGAAAAGGATACCGGAGTCCAGACTTTGGGCATACAGATTAACTACTCGACTTTTTCCACATGAAAACACGGATCTCTTTTAAGTAGGCTGGCTCCTTTTGTAACTCTTACCACTCAATTATCTTTTTTTTTTTTTAAACAAAGTAAACATAACTTCTTTCGGAATGAAGGGCCGCATTGACATTTCTTTAGACTAGAGAATTCAGTCACTGTCTGAATGACACTTCTCACCGTATGCTGTATTCATGGTTTCCTGCTCCAGTTGGCTAGAAATAAACAGATGCCAGGCACTGACTCCTTCACTTGGTCGACAGTGACATTAATCAATCAATAATTTTATTCTCATGGCTAAATGTCTAATAAGATCATGACAAAAAGTGACCCCTCTGGACACGATCCTACCTACGTACAAATGACAATCTCCATGTCGTCAAAATAACAACCAAAAAAGTCTTGTTTTTTTTTTTTTTTTTATATATAAACACCACGATGTTCTTGCTAGAAGATTAATTCAGTGGGAAAATCACTGACTTTGGAGTCACAGGACCTGAGTGAGGCACGTCAGTGAGCATTTATTAAGCACTTGTGATATACTCAGTTGAAATGCCAACAGTGCTCCTTACTCTTCTGGGACACCCTGGGCAAGTCATAACTTCTCTTGGACTCAGTTTCTTTATCTGTGGGATGAAGGGGTTGGACTAAAGACCTCTAATGTCTCCTTCCAGTTCTATGATCCTATAGAGTCCATTGATCTGGCCACTATCTCAGGCATCTTAGCTGTGGGTGTGTGTGTGTATGTATGTGTGTATGTGTGTGTGTACATACACACACATATACATGTAGAGAAGGAGAAAGAGTAGAAGAGAGAAAGAGTTCTAGTCTTACCACTGAGTATATAAAACCTCCTTTAGTGATATACAACTATCCTGCAGCAATTTTACAGTTGAGATGAAACATTTTCATTAAATTTATGATATATTTGTAAATACTTAAAGGTATCTTTTAAAATTTTATCTATTTTATTTTGAGACAACACTCTCCCACAAACATCCAAACAAATCCCCCCACTAATTTCATTGCCTCCTCCAAAGTTCTGATTATTAACAGATAACTAAATTCATCAGAATGGTACCACAAATGACTGTTATAGCACCTTTAGAGATGCTTTCCTGGGAGGATGTCTCAGGTAACAATGAACAGAGAGCTGTAATCATCATCTAATTGAGAAGATTCTCAGCAAAGTTCTCCATCATCACCTTACTCCAGTCAGTTACCAAGTATCTGTTATATGCCAGGCACTGTGTTTCATGCTAGGGATTCAAAGATAGGTGAAAACATGGGCCCTGACTCAAGGACCTCTCATTCTAAGAGGTAAGACAACATGGAAATCATTATACACATATAAAATATATACAGTGTAAGTGGGAGATAGTCTTAGAGGTAAGGTATTGGGGGGGGGCATGGTTAATGCAGTCAGGAGGAACTGATTTCAAATCCATCCTCAGACACTTACTAGCTGTGTGACCCTAGGCAAGTCACTCAACCCTGTTTGCCTCAGTTTCCTCATCTGTAAAAAGAGCTGGAGAAGGAAATGGCAAACCACTCCAGTCCAGTGTCTTTGCCAAGAAAACCCCAAATGGGGTCAAGAAGAGTTGGATATGAATGAACAATAACAATAAAACAACATGTAGGAGGGTGGCATGCAGGAGGGAGGCATACAGACCAGGAAAGATTTCATGCACAAGGCAGGACTTGAGCTGAATCTTGAAGGAAGTCAGGGGAATTAGAAAGTGGAGCTGAGGAGGAAGAGGATTCTAGGTGTGGGGGGCATGTGAGCCAGGGCATTGTGTGCCTTGGTTTTAAAGGGAGGACTTTATACTTCATCCTGGGGGTAGCTGGGATCCAGTGCAGTTGGTAGAGGGATGACATGGTCAAGCCTGTGCTTTGAGAAGATCACTTTGGGGAGGATGGATTTGACTAAGGAGTGATTTGGGTCAAAAAGACCCCCCCCCCAGTAGCTACTGTAAGAGTTGAGGTCTCAGGAGATGAGGCCTGCACCAGGAAGGGGGCAGCATCAGAGGAGAGAAAGGGGTGGATTCAAGAGATGTTGTAGAGACAGATACAAGAAGGTTTGGCAACAGGTTGGGTATGGGGTGGCGAGTGAGACTGAGGAGTCAGGAAGGACTTGCAGACTGTGAATCCAGGTGACTAGGAGGATGGTGGTGCCTTTGGTGGTAATAGGAACGTTCAAAAGAGGACAGACTTTTGGGAGAAAAATAACGAATTTTGTTTTGGACATGGCGAATTTGAAATGCTCACGGGACCCAATGTGAGATGTCTCAAAGGCGGCTGATGTGATGCGGAGCTCAGGAAAGGGTTAGGGATGCTCATGTGGCTCTCGAAATCATCAGCATAGAAATGAACCCATGGGGGATGATGAGATCCACGCATGAGAAGAGGGCTCAGTCTCTCCCCCAACCTTGGGGGACACTCATGGTTAGTGGGCACAACCTGGATGGTAAGCCATCAAGAGAATGAGAACTAATGGTCATATAGGCAGGAGGGGAACTCGGAGACAGCAGCGTCATGGAAACCTAAAGGAATGAGTAACCAAAAGAAGAACATGACTGACAGTATTAAAGGCCGAGGACAGGGTCAAGAAAGATGAGGACAGGGAAAAGGCCTTTGGATTTGGCATTTAAGAGGTCAGTGGTAACTTTGGAGAGAGCAGTTTTAGCGGGATGATGAAGCTGCAAGACAGACTGTAGAGAGCTCAGAATTAAGTGAAGGGAGGTGAAATAGATGTACTGATTGTAGATGGCTTTCTCAAAGCATTTAGCCATGAAAAGAAAGAGAGCCATAGCAAGATAGCTAGCAGGGATGGGGAGGGGTTTTTCAGGATGGGACAGACATAAGTGTACATTTGTAGGCAGCAGGGAAGCAGTCAGTAGACAGGGAGAGATTAACGACTAGTGAGAGAATGGGAATCACAAAGAGGGCAATCTGCTGAATGGGATCAAGAGTACATGAAAAAGAATTTACCTTTAATATGAAATGTGTTTTATTAGTGTAATTATAAATTAGACAATATAATTCAAGGGCTTTGCAAGGCTTAAAGCATGAGATACGTGTTAGTTATTAGTTAATTTATTGATTTCCTACATTTCACATTTACTTTCCTATTTGCACCTTTCCCTCTCCATCTTTTAGCAAAAAGGATGTGCTTTATTTTTTATTCTAAATCAGACATGCAAAGTACCAGAGGTCCAAAGTTCCAAGGCTTAAATGAAATTAGACCAATAACATAATCACACTATAAGCACAAACTCTAACCAGTACTGAAAACATTTCTGCTCCTCCGCCGGCTGCCAAGGCTTACCAATCATCAGAAGCTTCATTGTAAAGAGGCTGCTAAGTGAAAAGACTGGCGAAAATTTTGGGTTCCATTCTCACATTTGCAACTATCTACTCTTCCTCTTGAAGACAACTTTTCAATGACTTCCACAAGTTTATGTGAAAATTGCTGTTTAAAAATATGAATGAAAAAAACTGGTATTGAATTTTCCTCCATATATCTTTAAGAGGACTGTGTGTTGCACGTGAGAGCTTCTCACTGAACATCATAACTGGATAGCAAATAAACGCAACAGTTTAGCAAAAAAAATAACAGACCAGGGGATACCTGCAAATTATATTTGTGCAACTTTCACATTGTAATATGGACTTTTAGATAACCTATGTCACCACAGCCATGTGTTAAGAGAAGTGGCTGACAACTTTCTAGCATCACACTGTTTACAGATTAACTGTGGATGACTTGTCTCATTTGGTGTTTTTACAGCCGATGTCTCAAGGGGTATTTATGACAGCAGCCCCCCACTACCTGGGTGAGAAAACTCATCAGGCACTACCTGTATTGTATTTGAACAATTTTCAACTTAATAAGTGACCTGAACCATTAAAATAGGAAATGACTGCTGTCTTCACGCGTCTGTAAGAAGAGGGATTGGGAGAGCTATGCTCTCCTTCCTTTCATGGCTAAATGCTTTGAGAAAGCCATCTACAATCAGTGCATCTATTTCACCTCCTGTCACTTAATTCTTAGCTCTCTGCAGGCTGTCTTGTAGCTTCATCATCCCACTAAAACTAGTCTCTCCAAAGTTACTACTGATCTCTTAAATGCCCAATCCAATGGCCTTTTGGGAGATCAGCCCAATGAGACCCACTAGGAAGGATGAGTAGAAGTTACAAAGAGGCAAATATGGAGGACTGAGGAACAGTCCTCAACAATTCAAGCCATCCAAAAACAGAATGAGTAGCCTTGGGAGATGACAGACTGCCCTCTCACTCAAGGCCTTCAAGCAGAAGCTTCGATGGGCAACTTGTTGGATGTGAGGTAGACAGGATTCTTGTTCAGGCACTGATTGGCCTAGCCCGTCCCTGGAGTCCTTCTGAACTCAGGTTTTTGGGATTCTCTAGCATTTCAGGTCAGAACTCAAGAGGTAACTTTGAGCAATGCTCCCCAAGAATCTGAGTAAGTGCAGACTGTGCGGGGGCAAATAGGCCCCTCATACGCAGTTCGATATTCTCTGCGTTGATGAAAAACAGGCAAGTTTGGCTTGCCCCGTGCATCTAAGGAGTCCTGTGGATAATGCATCCTAACGCGGTTAGCCAGACGTCCTGAGAGGGGGAAAGGATTTAGGGGAATTTAATAAATAAATACAAATTCACCTCTAATAGGGCAAGGATGTGCTAAGGTTAAGTCCCTTCCATCCCAGGGGAAGTAAAGAGAGGAACAGGACTTGGATGGCTTTTGTTCTGTTTTGTTACAGAATTTAGTGGATTTTCTCCCCTCATTTTCCCCATGGCAGTTCTGGGGGAAGCAGGCGCCTCGACCTACCGTCATGATGAGCTTTTCGACACAGTCCGGGGCCACGCTGTGGAGGTGGGTGAGGTGCAGCTGCAGGTGAATCTTGTTGTTCAGCATGTCCTGGCAGAGCGGGCAACGAAGCATGGGCTGCACCGAGTGCTGAGTCATGGCGTGCACCCGAAGCCTGTTCACATCAGCGTTACTGTACTTACAGTATGGACACTGGAACATCTGTGCGAGAAGGGAGGGAGATAGATTCCAACCAGCACTGGGCCCTCCTCCCCAACCCTCTTCCCCTCAGCGCAGCTGACATCAGCTGCAGCGGCCCCTGCCTTCCAACCTGGGCCGAGCTGCGTGCCTCACCTGCTCTGATCTGGCCTCTTCCGATGTTTTGGGTCGCTTGGAAGAGAGGGGGGGCTCCGAGCTACTCGGGAAGGACGTACGTTTGGAGGCTGCAGGACAATCTGGGAGCTCCTTCTCTGCTTGGCTGGACGATGCTACAAGAGAAAATGGAAGCTACATTACGGTATCTGTGCCGGGCAAGCTGCAATGGGGTTGCTGCTGGGTGAAAACCAATATCCATTTATAGCGCAGGATTTCTTGAAAAACCAAGATTCCAGGAGGATGAGCATCCAAGCTGGTAAACATGTTGGAAAGGCAGTGACTTTCTTCTCACTCTCAGTTAGTGCTTTAAAGACTAGGGAAGGAAAAGGTAAGGCGCTGGGATAAAAAGTCTTGGAAGGGGATTTGTGTGGCTCTGATCTAAAAACACACAATCTGCCCTGGACTCCCCAGATCAGGAGCTAAGCTCTTGCTTGCGAAGTGTGAATGTGTGTGCCTGTGTGTATTAAATCAAATGAGAGAAGATTTGCAAAACACTTTGCAAATCTTAAAGTGCTACATAAATGCTGTTATTATTATTATTATTATCACTAATAAGTATGTTGAGGGGGTAGGTGTTCTTTGTGATTACCACTAGCATTAAGATTCATTAGGTTCACTCACCCACAGGGATTAGCCTCCATATTTCTGCCCCCAAAGCTCTGCACTATATTAAAAAAAAGTGGCGCTCTAGAGAAAGTCAAATTAACAAGTTTATTAAGTACCTACTATAAGATAGGCACTATACTAACACTGGGGGATACGAAAAAAGGCAAAAGACAGTCCCTGCCCTCAAGGAACTCCCACTCTAACGGAGGAGACAATATGCAAACAAATATATACAAAGCAAGATATTGACATGATGAACTGGGGTGTAGGGTGGGGTAGTCTCAGAGGAAAGGCATTAACATTAGTGTGCCTGCACTAGAAAGTTTTGTTCTGAGCTAACAGGAATACTCTGGATCACATTCTAGTAGATGCTCTAGGGAAAAATTCGCTTGAATGCTAGCTCTGAGGAAAAGCATCTCTACCCTGCTGCCCATATCCACCCATCTATTTATGCAGTTATTCTTAATGTGAGGGAGAACCATCTGAAATCTAGGTGGTAGAAAACAGAGAAATACTAGAGGAGTGAATCTTGCTCTGGGAATGATTTGGAAGTTTCTTTGACATGAAATCAGCAAAATTGATGATTTACTCATAGCAGTATGACTTCTCTACCATAGCATGGTACAAAACTCCAAGACAGTAGGCTGAATGGGAGTCCCTAAAAGTTGGCTTTTTGGTTACTCAAACCACAAATCTTCTGTGCAAGATAGCTAAAGGTTTTAGACTTTTGCTGTAACCAATGGCACTGGCTATATGGAAATGGTCAAAGAAAAATGTCATAAAAACCATCTCCCGAGGAGAGGAGAGGAGAGGAGAATTCTTTTTGGAGATCACAGACCTCACTGTATCTTAATATGATTTGGCATTTGGGTCATAGAGTGAGAAAAAGCTAATTTCTGCTCCTTGGCAAAACCATGCTTAGTCTTATTCTGCTTAACTATCTCACAAACATTTCTACTCTATGCTTAGCTCTGGGATTTGTTTTGACATGGACACCAAGATACTGTCTTTATGTATATGTACTTTAATAAACAATTTTAGAAAATCAATTTTATTCATTAAAACCATAAGGCCACAAAATATATTTTTTTAAAAATGTTAAATGCAGGAAATATTCCAGGAAGTTGATGCTCTTCCCAGAATGCACATCTTGTGACCTTTAACCCCAGTGTCTTGGTAACCTGGTCTACATAAGTTTGCAAGGCATCTATTATTTAAAAACTACCAAGACAAGCATATTACATACAGACCCCTCCTCCTCCCAACACACACATTCATAACAGTACTTTAATCTGTCTCGAATCGACTTCAAACCCATTTCGCTCTTAATGGGAGTTATTCATTTTCACTTGAAAGGTAATACATGACTGCTGGATATTTAACGTGATGGATTGGCTGCCGATTAACTAGGTGCTGTAACATTCTAGGCTGGTTCCCCCATGGCCCACTTCCCATCTCCCATCCTCACTGTAGGCTTGATTGAGCCTGCAGAATCCTCTTTTTTCCTGGCCTTTTGTGGACACAGTCAGGGAACTCTTTGGCCTTATTTCTTCTGTGATAGAAAACCTTTTCTTGAGATAATTGTTTTACTCCAAAGCACGTCCCTTTTCCACACTGAGTCTAAAACAATCCTCTCTTTTGTAGTGCTTCATTTAAAAATGGACAAAAGTGTTAGCGATTTAAATATATGTAAAAGATAAATTGATAAATTAATAAATTAAATAGAACTAAATATATGTAAAAGTGACTGTTTGGATGTCCATTGGTAATGAACGTCATATTTTCTCCTCCCATCCTTCTCCTCTCCACCACTGGTGAGGATTACAGGGGGAATTTGTTTAGTTTCTGAGCGTGCAAAAGACCTGTTAACAATTTTCCATAGCTAAGACAACATGGGAATTTTAAATCCGCTCTCATCCTGTTGTACCATTCCCCTACAACTCTGTCCTTGACCCCTTATCTGACCTGTAACACTCCTTGCTGCTACAAGACTATGACCCAGCCCAGTGAACAGATGCCACTCTGCTTTCTGCTTTTCATGACGAAAGCTGATCTCCTGACCGGTGATGTGAATGAATGGGCCCTAGAACTAAGGTGGCGATCACCCAATTTATTTCACTTGAGCACAGCAGACAACCAAATTCTATGACCTAGTATAGATCTAGTCAATTTGCAGAATTAAAAAAAAAAAAGTCTACCTAATTTTCTTCTTTACATGCCCCAACCCCCCTGAAAAACTGAACACATTGTAACAAAGTTGTAGATGTGTGAATTCTGGTTTCAGAGGCTACTATTCTTCTTCCCTTCAAGGAAGGGAGCAAAAACTTTTCCCCCTCACTCCTGACTCAAACCTGCCTGGGATTCCAAAGCTACTTTCATAGGAGGAAGCTAAGGGTTCTTTTTTTTTTTTCTTTAAAATTAAACTCTTTCATTCTTCTTCAGTAACAGAACTACACTGCTACAATGTAAACCATGCCAATGCTTTGGGGTTTTCTCTTAAGGAAAACTAACATTTTTATTTGGTACAAGTGCTCAGATACGGGTTACTTTTGTGGCCGGGGCAATAGCTACTCAGCGGATCTCTCATCAGTTAAAGTCAAAAAGATCTCACGGACACAGAATCCCTGTTAAGTCCCAAGTTACAGTCTTTTTGCTGGTCACCGGGTGATCACAGGGGAGTGGTTCCAATAGTCAGGTTAACTACAGCTGACATAGTCCCCTCCCCACGATGACCTTGGACATTAAAATGTCAATCTCAATCAGGAAATGAGTCATCAGGGCAGAGTGAGCTGAAATCTAGGGGGAAGTTGCCCATTGGGCTTTGTGGATGGGATTTCTATTAGGGGACCTGGCATGGATTGGGATTTACTCAAGCTTCCTCTTCTTTGAGCTTCAGAAGACACAAGGTCTCAGTATCAACTAATATTTCAATCTTTTCAGTCTTTATTTATAACCTTTTGGATTTAAAAGACTGTCAACTGAACCGGCAAACGGGGAAGAGAAAGTGAAGGTTTACTCTTTTCTGTTAATCCTGCTGAGACATTTTTAAACTTCATTTTGAGCTCCAGGGGCGAGCAATGCAGAACATCCACTTTCTAAATCCCCAGATGACTTGTCATTTTAACCGCACGATGGCTTCTTATTAATACAAATGAAAAAGACCCATGGAGAAATGAACATTTTGGTGACAAGTTATTCCACGTTTGGTTTCTAGTTGACACAAAAAGCCACAAACGATAACTGACCATCAAAAAATCTGGAGTTAAGTCTTTGAGGCCACAATAGTGTGTCAAAGCATCAAGCAATGCCTGAGTTAATCAGGTTTGGTCATTTTCCTCATTTAAAACAGCTCTATCATTTTCCCTAGATGTGTTAAAATAGGGGAGATCTTTCATTGACCACATCTTGGGCTGCTTTTGACACTTCAAAAAGGATAAAGAATATGGGGGGAGTCACGTGAACTCATGCGTTCTAGAAAAGACTTTCCACTGTGCTTCTATTAGGTGAACAGAAATTCTGGATCAAACACATGGAAACCCAACATGATTTTGTGTTACAGATGCCTGTTCATATCAACTGCCAGAACTATGTTTTGTTTTATTTGTGTGTAACATATGTAGTTTTGGTTTTGTTTTTTGAAGAGAAGGGAATTTTACTTCTGTAAGAAGCTTTAGATATAATATATATATATATTTTATAATATACATATAAAACATATATATAAATATATGTATTTTAGATATAAAAGTCATTGAGGTGGCAATGGAAAGTATTGCTATATCTTTGGTCTGTAATAAAGAAAATTTAAAGTAGGTTCTCATTGATTATTTTTTAACCAAAGCAATCATTCTCCCCACCCCCACCCCCAAGCTAATCCAGTCCTTTAACTGTAATAATCTGGCCAATGAAGCTGATGATGAAAAACTGTACTGGCCTTCTTGACACTAAACATTAACTGGAAGCCACATAACAAAGGGCAGGATGCCTTATCATTTCTCTTAACTTCCTTCATATCCCAGGCAAAATAATTTTATTTCACGGCAATTTTAGGAGTCGATGTATGACTTTCATATTAGAGCCAATCACTGTTAATATACAAGGTGTTTCAGTTTTCCAGATACTCTTTCTAGTTGCTACCCTGCTTCTCCGAAGTATTTATATGACTAAACATAATTACAGTAAAAAAAAAAAAATAGACACATAAACCAACTTGGAGATGCGTGTGTGTGTGTGTGTGTGTGTGTGTGTGTGTGTGTGTGTGTGTGTGTATAGAATCAGAGCAATGGACCTCATAGTTTAATAGCCAGGGTAAACTCTAGGCTTGAACTTTCTTTCTTCCATTCTTCCTTCCTTCTTTTCTTTCTCTTCTTTCCTTCTTCTTTCTTTCTCTCCCCCTTCCCTTAATGGGGATACAACTGATCATACCAGTAACACTTCACAGAGTCATCATGAAGAAAGCCTTTGGAATTGTAAAGTCCTACATGAATGTGAGATATCTTGATGAGTG